AGCATAGTGGCAAAACAGTAAGTTAAGTAGATAAATTACGTATTTCGACAAGTGTTGTAAATTATTAGGTACTGGTACGATCGTGGGCTGCGTGCCGGCGTTCAGCCCCGCGCATTTATTGACTCTTTATCAACTGATTCGTATTTGCTGGCTTGAGATATTGAAGTTTAATTGTTAGTTTTATGTTTAGGTGTTTTCAATTCATATATATATATATATATATATATATATATATATATATATATATATATATATATATATATATATATATATATATACCTTTACGTTAAATGTTGATCAGACTCTCTTCACGCGAGCACTTTGTTGACCCAAAAACGCATGTTGATCCGGCGCCTTTTATTGATCGAATATGCATATCTGGTAACTAATGTGGCTTCGACCGGATCAACATCTGCCGCAACAACATCACGAGACTGTTTGCTAGCGTTTACCGAAGTTACACATCTCCACCTTGGGATGGTTACGGAAAATGTTATTCCGATTTAATTGAGAGAGCACAGCAAACGATAAGATTAACGATCGGATTGGCTGAAAGCAGCCGCGACGTTGCCGTTTCGGTCTTTGCCAATACAAGCTACAAATTAAACGTATAACTCAACAACTCGACAACGGCGACGTTGTCTAATGTATTCCCTTGAGGGAGTGTTTGTGTGTGTGTGTGTGTGTGTGTGTGTGTGTGTGTGTTATGTGTGTGTGTGTGTGTGTGTGTGTGTGTGTGTATTTGTGTGTGTGTGTTGTGTGTATATTTGTGTGTGTGTGTGTGTGTGTGTGTGTGTGTGTGTGTGTGTGTGTTCGTGTGAATGCGTGTGCGTGTGCGTGCGTGTGTGCACTTTTGTTTTTTTTTATGAGTACATGTGTGTGCGGCAGTATGCGTTTGTTTGTGCGGTTATCTGCTTTCGTTTGCGTGCGTATGTGTGTGTGCGTTTGTGTTCGTGTGCGTATGTATGCGTGTGTGCATGTGTGCCTGTTTGCGCGAGCGCGTGTGCTGTGTGTGTGTGTGTGTGTGTGTGTGTGCGTGTGTTTACCGCAAATCAGTTAACATGCTTTCCACATCTTCATAATCAAGATTTTTAAGGACACGTTTACAAAATTGATAGGTATAGAATCGAACTTTCACATCAGATATTATCATGAGACCTTAACTCCGGTCTTGATGGAGGGACCTCAAAATGTAATTTGGTGATTACTACTAGAACTTCTGGACTAATAGAACTAGGAGTGTCGAGATAAAGATAAAGATAAAGATATTTATTTTGTAAAACATGAGTAAAAATACAGGTGTTAAAAAAACTTAATACGAGCTACATGTTTTGCCATTTATGGCGTACAAAAATTATTCTACATATATTAATTATACTACAATACAAATTAACTAACCCTATGTTCATAATTTTAGATATGCAAAAATTTCAGCTTATTTAGCTTTAAACAAATCAATCACTTAAGAAATCAGGCAAGTTGTAATAACATTTGGCTATCAAATATTTTTCAAGATGTAGCTTAAAAAGTCTGGTAGGCAATTGTTTGATGTGTTTGGGGATTTCATTATATATTATTGGCGCCAGACAGAAAATACTTTTATGCATCAATGCCGTTTTTGAACCAACTGCGCATAACCTACTATTATCCCTGCGATTGCGAATTGTGACGTCCGATGGTTTGTTAAACAATTTAGGGTTACTTTGAACGAAGTTTGCTACTTCATATATAAATAAGGAGGGTAAGCTCAAAATGTTATGCTCAATGAAATATGGTTTGCAGCTATCAGTAATTTTAAGACCGAACATAGCTCTGATGCACCTTTTTTGGGACTTAAATATAATTTCCTTATTAGTAGAATTTCCCCAGAATATTATGCCATACCTCAAGATGGAATCAACAATACCATGGTACGCCGTGAGAAGCGCATCGGTACTTACGACGGATGAGAGTTTATAGAGCGCATAAGCAGAAGAACTAATTCTTTTGTTTAGTTCTTCTGTGTGCGCTTTCCAGTTCAAACTTTTATCAATGGTTACACCTAGAAATTTTGTTGTATCTACTTGGTTGATTTCTGTCCCTTGGTAATTAACGTTAATATTTGGTGTTGCTAAGCGTTGACTGAAGTACATAATTTTAGTTTTTTGAAGATTAATTTTATTATTATTTAACCAGTTTATTATTAAATTAATTGTATTATTAATTTCACTTTCAAATTTATCCTTATTGATGGAGTTTATTGTTACCGTACTGTCATCGGCAAATAGCGATATTGGATATTTTGTAATTTTTGGTAAATCATTTATGTAGATGATGAACAATAAAGGACCTAACACACTTCCTTGTGGGACACCGTATTTAACTATTTCTTTGTTTGATATGCATATTTCTTCTTTTTTGGTGTTAATATTTATTCTAGAAATTTCGGTATATTGTGTTCGATTTTTAAGATAGGATTCCATAAGATTTAATACATTGCCTCTGATGCCATAGGCTTCTAATTTACTGAGCAGAATATCATGGTCAACATAATCAAAAGCCTGAGTCATATCGCAATAGATAGCGCATACCGGTATCTTTTTGTCAACATTCATCATCACTCTATTTAAAAAATCAAATATAGCCATATTTATGGTTTTGTTTTTGCGGAATCCTTTTTGGTCTTCTGTAAGAATGTTTAATTTTTCTAAAAAGTTATAAATTTCTAAATATATATATTTTTCAAAAACTTTTGATAGTATAGACACAAGCGCAATAGGTCTATAGCAGTTCATATTTTGTTTGTCATCTTTTTTAAACAATGGCTTAACAATGGAATTTTTTAAACTTTCGGGATAAGATCCTGTGCTTATACAAATATTCAAAATATGGCTGAGATGATCACAAATGTAATAAGCAACATACTTTAAAATTTTAGTTGAGATCCCATCATGCCCTACACTTGTAGTATTTCTTAGTGATCTTATAATTTTAAGTATATCGTATGGTGTACTCGGTGCCATAAACATTGACTGAGTTAATTTGACAATATTTGAAGTTACTTGCTTTCCCGTGCCCGATATAGGTTTTATTTTATCTACAAAAAATTGTTAAAGGCATTCGTGATCTCTTGTAGACTAGTTAACGTTTTATTACCTACTTTTATGGAAGTTATCATATGCTTTGGCACATTCATTTTTGATCTATTTATTATTGCCCACGTCGCTTTAGATTTATTAATCGCCGTTTTAATTTTATGGTTGTTTTGAACTCGTTGTGTTAGTTTGATAATTTTTTTTATAAAGCTTAGCATATCTTTTAAATTTTATTTTGTTTATCTCATTTCATTTAAGCCTATACTTCCACATTAGCTCTCTTTTTTTTTGCTACAAATTTTTATTCCACGTGTTAGCCATTGCGATTTTTCTTTAGTTCTAATGGTAATTTTTTTAAAAGGGAAACATAAATTATAAAGAAGTTTGAAAGTATCTATAAACGCATTGAAGGCTGTGTTTGGATTATCAGTATTATAGATTTCAGAGAAAGAAATACACTGTAAATATGTTTTAAATTTTTGCATGTTTTCTTGACTATAGTCACGTCTATTTATTTGCCACTGGTTAATTACGAAAGTTTTATGAACCGGTAATTTCAATATTTGTGCTGTATGGTCTGATAAGCCAAAGTCTAATACATCGGATTTACACTTCTTTAGATTATGTGCAAAGTTATCGATGCACGTCATGCTCGTAAGTCGCGTTGGCTGATTTATTTCCAATTTTAGATTAAAATTTAAGAGCAAACATTCCAATTCCATTAAAGTATTATTACGCTTAAGACAGTCAATGTTAAAATCACCTGCAATTACGACATTTCTCTTTGTTTTATTTCTATATGAAATGTATAGTAACAGCTTTTCCAACTGTTCAAAAAATACAGTTAATTTGTTAGACTTTGGTACCCTATAAATACAGACAACAATAGTTTTGTAATTAATTAAATCAATAGCGCAACAATCGAATACCCCATTTATGGAGAGTTTGGCTATATCTGAAATTTCTTTATACTGGTGACCTTTCTTTGTAAGAATACACGTTCCGCCTCTTTTACAATCTTTTCGTGAGTAGGATGCAGCCAAAATGTAATTAGGGATTAACAATTGCTTTTCATGACCAGCTATCATAAAATGTTCTGATAGACAGATTACGTCAATTTCAGTATCTTTATCTGACATTTCTTCAAGACATACAGTAAGCTCATTACTCTTGTTCAGTAAGCCAGCAATGTTTTGATGAATTAGATTCAGGTGCTTATAATAGAAAAAACTGCTCTGTTGTCTGTTGATTTTTTACCTCTTCAATTTGCTCACAATGTGTATTCGTATAGTAAGTATTATTCACATAGTTTATGAGCTTAGTGATGTCTTCGAAAATTATTTGCATGCCAAAATTATTTACTGTTCCGGTATTTTTTTGTACATTTTGGAATCCCATGTAAGGTTTTTGTTTGTGTCAACAAAAAAAGCATGTTCGTGGGCTAATATGTCTTGGTAAAGGAGATGATTAAAATGTTCTACTCTCCTATTATACATTGTTACATTACTTGCACATATTTTGTACGTGGGCATGCAAAGTATAACGTTTGTATGTTGAATATTATTTAGCACTTTTCTTATGTTTGAAATTAAGCTCGAATACTCCTTGGTTGTTTTGAAGTCTGTCTCTCCAATTAAAATGATACAGTAGTCATCTAAAGTAAATTTTCTTAGCTTGGGTTCCAAGTCACGTATCATATTATTTATTCCAGCGTATGGCATTAGGTAGTGACATATTTCTGAGTTTTGAAGCTTACCTTCTGCAATTGTGCGTATTTTATTATATTTATTTTCACTAATAATACATATCTTACTATTTTTTATTCTTCTCATGTACTGTTTTTCAGAGTGAGGTATTCCTGTTTTCACCACAGGTATTTTCTGTTCTACTGTCTCAGAAACCAAAACAGTTGTTTGCGAACCCTTATCATTCGTCTTTTTTTTCAGTAATATTTAGTTGCTCGGTTTGTGTTTGTTTGCTTTGTGACGTTTCGTTAATTTTTTTTGGGGTAGATAGTTTTTTCTTAGATTTTTTTGCAGGGCTGTTGGTAATTTTTTTGTAAAGTATATTAATCTTTTGAAGCTCCTCGTTTGACTGTTTTAGATTGTTGTTTTCTAATGTAAGATTATCAATTTCTTCCTCAGCACTACTTAATTGAAGAGTCAATTTCTCTACTTGTTTCTTTAAATTTGCTATTAATTCCTGATCATACGAGTCATCCTTACTCATATCTGGGACACTAGTAGCCGTGTCGTCCATTGTTTGACTTAGTAATTCGTTATCATATTGACTTACATATCTTTGTGAGTCTGATTTTGTGCGAGTACGACCAGTACGCCGGAGTGTAATATTTTCTAGGAAGTTCATAAGAAGTTATTAACGGTGTGGTGCCGCAAATTATTTATTGTTCTTATCCAAACTTTTTATTTACATATCGTTTAAAATCTCAAAAAGTGAATGCGTCCGATGTAGGATGCGAGTTTCAGCTAATTATGTTATGTATGATGAGGCCTTACCTCCGGACTTGATGAAGTGACCTGAAGGTCTACTTTGGTGACCGCTATTGGAACTCCTCGCCGAGTAGAACAGGGTGTGCCGAGTTTGGGCACGAGCCCACGAGTTGTTAGTCATGATGAGTCCTTACCCATTGAGTTACCTGAAGGTGTACTTCGGTAACTAATAATGTAATATCTGGACTAGTAGAACTAGGTATGCCCAGTTTGGGTTCGTCCTGTTATGATGAAACCGTCACAAAACAAAAGTTCTTTTCACTTTGTCTATAGTACTAATAGGTAGCCAAGTTGAGGTGAGTAAGATGGTAAAATGAATAACCTCGTATTAACATCTTTATGGGCAGTGTCGATACTCACTTACTAGCCACACTGTCCCTCGCTGTAACCAACAGTCCTTTATGTGACCCTCACTTGCGCTCACGCCGTCCCCACTACACTGCACTCCAGTGCACCCATCATCATCTCCACCGCATACGCCTACACATCTACCACCGCACCCCTCTCTAAACCTCCGTTCTCCACCTCCGCTACCTCCACCTCCACCATAAACTCAGCTCACTCCGCTGTCACCACCGCCCTCTGTCACTATTCCCTCCGCCTCCAACACAAACTCAGGTTGATCCATTTCTGACCCCGTTCTCGCCGTTTCCACTATCTCCGACTTTACCACAAATTCCATTCCCTCCGCTTCCACCTACGCTACCAACTTTGCTGCCTCCGCCTTCACCACAAACTACGCTGCATCCATCTCCGCCTCAACCTTCTCCGTTCTCCGCCTCTATTTTCTGCGCATACACAAACGCACACTAACACGCACTCAGACGAACACACACCCACGCATAAACACCCACCCACCCACACACATACACACACATAAGCGCGCGCGCGCGCGCACGCACACACACGTGCACGCGCGAGCGCGAGAACACGCACACACCCGCAAACGCACTCATACACACGCATATAAACGCACATACACGCAAACACACGTGCGCGTGCACTAACATCCACACGCATACACTAAATCGCACCCCCACCCTTACACACACATATACTTGAGTGATAAATTAATTTGTAATAAAATACTATCCATCATCTTCTACTTGATCCATGACAAATGAACAAAATAACACAAATTCACTCACACGATAACAAAAACTCGCGCAAACGTCTTTCTGCAATAAAACCTGCCAAGGTTTAATCCTCAAACTCAGCAGACAACACATTTTCTTACCTTAGTGCTACAATGAAGTAGTCTACTGGGTTCTCTGTCACATACAGAACGCGACGTAGCCGCTTTGTGTTCGAGTACCTTCGTCAATTGCAGCTCCGGATCCACTTAGTCTAAGTAAATTCTTCTTCTTCTTCTTCTCCCTGTATATTGTCCCATTTTAATTGGGGCCAGCCCTCCTAGTAATCTTTCGCCACATCGTGCGATTGTGGGTTGTCCTTTCTACGTTAATAGATTTCAGGTCATATTTTAGTATTTGCAGCCAGGTTATTGGTGGTAATCCACGGCCTTTCTTCCGCTCTTCTATGTTCATAACTCTTTTAGTCATATGTTCATCATCCTGTCTCATCACGTGTCCGTACCAGCGTAGACGGTTTTCTTTAAGTTTTTCGTGCACCATAGCGACCTTAAAACTACCACGAATGTAATCGTTTCTTATTTTATCTGTTCTAGAAACTCCTCCAGATCAACGTAGCATTTTCATCTCAGTGACGTGAATTTTCTGATCATCCGTCTTTCTCATCGGCCAGCACTCAGATCCATATAGCAGAGCTGGTCTTACTGCTCTTTTGTATACATTGCCCTTTATTTTAATAGGAACACGGGAGTCGCATAAAATTTCAGACAGCCATCTCCATTTTAACCAAGCTGTTTGGGTTCTATTTTGTATGTCTCTTTCTATACATGCCTTTGGTGATGCAATGGATCTGAGATATTTAAACTCTTCAACTCTTTTCAAGAGGACTGCCTTCAATAGATGGACATGGAATAACATTCACATTGGCATTAGAAAAGTTACAGTACATATATACAGTCTTCTCTCTATTGACTCTCAAAGGACTTCTGCCATATTGTCAGGTCCGATTGTACTTCCGCCATCGATTCGGCTATAAGTACTACATCATCAGCGTATAGAAGTGACCACGGTGCAGGTTTCTGAATGTCCGCAGTAAAATAGTCCATTACTAGGTTGAATAGAAGAGGGCTTACGGTCGAGCCCTGGTGTACCCCTACTCAAACTTCGAATGATTCACTTGTCCCTGCTGGGCTGTCAAAGTCAAAATCTTTATTTGCAGCATAAAATGTTTAGGTAATACAGGTATTTAGTATAAGAGTAAGTGTCAATAATCTTCTACCGGGAGTTGTACCGGTGTGCAAATATATCTTAAAATAATCAAATTTAATTGTACATATATGTCAAAAGATTAAATAAATTATATGATACATTAAATAATATTGCAATTAATTAAAATATTCCTTAACACTATAGTAATACTTGTGAAGAAGCCATTTATTAATCTCAATTTTGAATTCATTCAAAGGCATTTCTTTTAAGTTATTGGGCAATTTATTATATATTTTAATAGCCATTATAAGAGCACTGTTTGCATAAAATCTAGAGCTGCATTTGGGATGAAATAGTCTATTTTTATACCTTGTTTGCCTTTCGAGAGATTCAGCGTTGGTTTTGAAGTAGTTCGGGGAAGTAGTTTGATGCATGGCAACGGCAATATGCGTATCTTTTTGAACAAAGGCTTGCAGCTATCAAGAAACCACGCACCATATATCGCTCGCACAAATTTCTTTTGTAATTTAAGTGCTCTAATCATATCAACAGAATTTCCCCACAAAGGCAGAGTATTTAATAATACTGACGACACATAACCATGATAAGCAGCTAGGGCTGCTTTTTGTGATATTGCTTTTCTCAATCTTTTTAAAGCATATACAAACCGGTTTAATTTTGTACAAATCTGGTCAATGTTAGGCTTCCAGTTTAAATTTTTGTACCTAAAAACATAACTGATTCAACATTTTCTATCTTCGAATTTTCATATTTTATATTCATATTTATAGGTTCCATTTTATAATTCCCAATTTGTATTATTTTTGTTTTGTTAAAATTAAGTAAAAGATTATTTGAATTAAGCCTAAACTAACCAAATTTTAAATTTAACTAAAGGAAACTACATAAATCCATCCAATATTAAATTAGAGTGCATTGTCTAAGGAATTAGTTCAGCAGTTCCACTCGATGAGGCTACAAAGCACCAGTTCCAAATCCGCTCGAATGAAGAGAAAAATGGTTGGGCGGCGGGCCTTAGGGTTCCCGAGTTCGATTCCCCGGTCGAGTCTTGACCCTATTACGCGAGACGTTATACTAGATGGACTGCATACGCGGAAGGTTCTTCTGCCTCAACATGATGGCGGACCATTGACAATGCACTCGCTCTTCCGAAATCTATTGTTTGCCAAGGTTATGAAAGAATCCTGCTTGAGCACATTAGGAGGAATGAAACGGAGCGGGTTAGCTAACAAACAAATGCTCAAGCGGGCATTGAATTATAGGAAAAACACACTTACCGGGGTGTACTTGATGCGGCTAGGCGCTTCCGCTGGATCGGGAGGCTTCTGTGCGCCCCAGAGATGCGATTCGGCCTTCCTATCAATGCATCTTGGTCGGGCGCGCTTCTCATTGGTCGAAAGAATCACGCCACCTTCTAGCCTCTCCTCCTTCCCATCTCAAAGTGTTTACTGAAGGGACAATAGGTCGGAGGAAGGATAAAAACTTGGCAAATATACCCTGGAATAAAATTAAAATACACGAATCGTTTCCGCGTAACCATATACATATATATATATATAAAATTAATAAGTTACTATTTATCTCTATAAATATATAAAAATCAATTACAGTCTCGCTAAAACTCGAAAACAGTTCGAACGAATTTTATGAAATTATATTTTGTTCGTTTAAGCGAGTCCATAAATGTTTTAGATTTACAACTTGACCCGATAGGTGGCGCTGTTGTCAAGATCCATCCACGCGAAGTTGGGATGGATTGCTAGTTATTAATAATAATGCGTTGTCCATATCTATAAAATGTTGCAAACCTGTAATATTCATTGCTAAGCGGACTACAGCACTGGTGATTCTTTACACGCTGGTCGTGCCAATATTTGTCGAAACAACGTCACCGAGTACTGGCAAAACCTTATGTCTAAAGTTGAGTCAGTCGAGAAGTTGTTGAATAAAGTCTCGGATTGGGGGCGACTAAATCTAATTTAGCTCAATCCCCCGAAGACACAAGTTTGCGCTTTTATCACTAAACCCCCTTTCTTGTATCTCCTCAGTTACAGGCACACCCTTTGTTGCCTCAGCCAGCATCGAAATCCTTGACGTCAACATATCAAATTATGTGCAGTTTTATGGTCACTTGGAAGAGAAGGTTAAATTGGGCTCTAAAAAGCATTGCGTGTTCACCAAAGCGATACAGTACTTCATGCCGTCACACTGCTTGCAACTTTACAAAGCAGAGGTTCATCCTCACGATGGAAGTATGGAATGAATTTACTGTTCTCATCTCAATCCACGTGCAGAACCCTACAGTAATATACGTATATTATACACTGTGGAAATGAGCAAAGTAGACTAATTCAGCTTTAGTAAACTTTTCAATCTTTTAGTGGATATATATTTTAGAACTTTATTACGAATTATGTGGTTCTTACTG